TCATTATAATTTCAATAGTCTGGGTTAATTGTAAATTATAGGAGATAATTTTATAAATTTGGTGTAACGAGCATTTAAATGTATCAAACTTTTATAACTAAATTGTAGCCAATTTTTTTTTGAGCAATCTTATAAAGCTTATGTGTTTACAATTTAGTTTTTAATATTTTAAGTCTTAAACTTTTGTTAAAAAATTAGCAAATTATTACCTAATTATTAAACAAAAATTTTAATCATTTCGCATTAGAAGTATTTTTTATTTTTTTTGAATTTAATTTAAACAGTTGTTCCATCCAATTCTTATTGCAATTTTCAATTTTTGTACAATATTTTAGGCAAAAGAAATTTAATTGCATTTTATATTCATAACTTTTATTTTTATTGGTGAGCTCTCTTTCTCTCTCTCGTATTTTATAGGGATCTTTAAGTAGATCATTAAAATGAAAATATTTATGAATAATATAAAATATTGTTACAATTTGCACGCTTTTTTTTAAATAATTATTTAGTATATTTTAGAGTCTTACAACAACATGAAATACGAATTACAAAATTGACTAAATTTATAAACCGAATTGCTTTCAGAAACAAAATAGTTGAATAAAAAGTATTAAATTTAACATAATAAAATCGGAAATAAACCTAAGGAATCAATTAATCACTTAAAGATTTATTTTAATTTTGGTGTTAATAAAAACAATTTTTATGAGGTTTGTAAATGGAAATTCGTTTTTAATGACCTTAGTTACATTTAATAACTGCGTATTGTATTAATTTTATAACAAATTTTAATTCTATACCGAAAGTAATCACTTTGTTTCTTTTTTTTTTATGAGGAAATAACGGGAAAAAAAGTATAAATAATCACTAAAATGTTTAAAATTACTTTTCGACTGTTATTCTTTAAAGCAACTTTTACTGAGTTGTCTGCTTTATTTAGCGTATGAATGTTTAAGTACACTACTAACTTTAAAATTAAGATGTTATGTGAGCACAGCTTTTTTTTATTAAATAATTTGAATTTTCAACTATATTGTTTTTAATCCCAAGACATTTCCACCCACGTTCTTACACTTTAAATATAAGAAATTAATATTTAATTTTTGACCTTACCACTCATCATGGAATTATTTCAAAAGCTATGTTCAACATAAGTTATACTTGTGCACAAGGCCTTTTTTTTAAACTTCTTGACGTGATGAAATTATTTCAAAAGCTATGTTTTAAGTTACACCAGAGCACAACAAGATTTTTTAAACTTCTTGATGTGAAGGAATTATTCGTGGAATTATTTCAAAAGCAATTGTTCAACATAAGTTATACCTGCACAAAAATATTTTTTAAACTTCTTGACGTGATGGTTTGTCAATAACTGATACTTGTCAAAATGTTGCCAATCCTTGTGTTAAAAAACAATGATTGTGTTGGGTCAAAAATAAGTTTATTTTGATGTCTTTTGGAAAGGAACGATTGATACCTTTCTTAACTTAAAATTTCTTATTCAAATATTAGTTTTTAAATAGTTTTTAGCATAAAAGAAAATGCTATTTTAATTAAAATATTTATCATTAATCAATATTAATTATTGCGCAGTTATTGTTAAGGTAATAATACTTAGAAGCTATATAATCTGTTTTTAATACCTTAAATTATTTTAATAGCTGTAAGCTATTTGGAGCGAATTTTTCTGTAAAACTGCTCTTAAAGATGGGACACACGTAATCGGAGTCACAAATCCTAAGTCTCAGTGGGAGTTCAGAGGTCCCCCATGTTTTTCCCTTCATAAAAGAGGGAGTCGCGTGCGCCGCACTGTCACCCCCTGACCTGCATCCTCGTTATAACTTATTAAGATCCTTCAGCACTTGTTGTGTGATAAAATTGCTACAACAAACTATCTCTGCTCTACTTTATTATTATTTTTTAACAATGTATTGTCGTATTTTAATTGTTTTGTTTCAAACTTAAAAGGATTCAAATTTGAACTCATAGCTTACATTATAAAAGAGAAGAAGACTAGGTTAGACAAATTAATATAAACTTCAAGCCATTACCCTATATTATTCTAAAAACTCTAAATTTAAATTTTCTTCTTGTGATTCACATTAAATTGGTTTGCTTTATAATGTTGATTATATTTTTGAATCCATAATTTTAATTAGTTATAGATATCTAACTCACTTTAGATAGTTATGCATTAAATATTGTTTCATTAATTTAAAAATGAAATTCTGATATTTTTTTTAAACTAATAACTGTTTTATAATATTTAAAATAGAAAAGCTCGAAGTGATTTTTTTAATGAGATTTATTTTAAAATTTAACAGTTATACTTATTTTTAAACTTCACATTTAATTTTGCAGTTTTTGACAATTTTCTAAAATAAGGAAAGAAAAAAAAACGGTAAATTTAATTTAAAAAAAAAAAATGAGAACTGAGAAAATTCGATTGTCTATTTGACTTGTTCCTTCTTGTAAAATATTTGTGTTTAAAGATTATCAAGATATGAAACGACGGACAGGCAAATCTTTCGCTTTTGTTAATAAATTCTATTTTTTCTATCTCTTTGTCTGTTTAGTTAAAAGCTTATAAGGCATAATTTGAAAATAATTGTTCCTTAATATAAAGATCCTTTTTTTATATTAAATAAATTTTTTTGAATTATAGCGGTTTTGGAGTTGGAACTCCCAAGTTTCACCTCTACTATAGCTCTTCTTACTATAGCTCTATATCCTCTACTATAAGTTTCCTATATTATTAGCACGGACTGATTCACAGGACTGAATTCGGTTCATTTGTCCTGGGCCCCTAATATTTTGAGAGAACTCCTCCCTAAAAATTCTAAATTACTTATAAATTTTTTTAAAACTAGTTTGGTCTTATACACGTGTACTTTTTAGTACAAATATCTTATTTCCTACATAATTTTCATCCTTTTCACCAACAACTTTTACTCTATCAGTTAAATTTCAGTATTTTTTTAATAGTTTAGCTCAATTTCATTTTTAATTTCTATACCGAACTAATGAATGAATATTCTCTCAGTGAGGTTTCAGGTTTTCAATCGATGTTGTGTGTTTCAATCGATGTTTGATTGTAATGCCTCTGTATGTTTAATGAACTTTAAAGCAAAACATTATTCAAAGACAACTTACTTAAAATCAATCTCGCCATTCACATATATATATATATACTTATGTTCTCGTTATCTGTATAATAATTTGAGTATTATATCGTACATATTTAGATTAATTAAATGTAGCAAAATTTTTTATGTTTTGCTATTTGTGCATGTTTTTTATTTTATTTACTTAATTTATAATTTATTATTACTGTGAATGTATAGTCTAGTCTCTTTCCAGATGATAATAGCACGTCTTTAGTCTTGATAGATTATAACTAATTGATAAGCAAAATTTCTGAAATCAGTATTTTTTTTCTTCTTTTTTTAAGGAATATTTTAATTGAGACCTTAGGTTAGTTAGCAATAGTTATCTCTTAAGTTTGCATTTTTAAATGGAAAAAAATATTCTGAATAATTATAAAAATATTCTGAGTCTAATACTGAAATTGAAGGAACTGTGTGCTAGGTAAACACAACTACTGTGTTAACAACTTTTAATACTGTTTCAGTTGATTCTGTGTCTTGACACTAATTATCTTTATTTCTTGTATCGAAACAGCATTTTACTATTTTTATTTGTACTTTTTATGATTTTTTTTAATCTCCCACTCTATATAATCAATTTCCCTGATTTCTCAGAGTATCATTAATCTATTTCTTTGAAATATAACTATTCAAATTAATAGTTAAATGTAGTAATTCTAAATTACTCTAAACTCTTTTTTATAGATTTGCATTATTTTAACTCTTCAGAGAATAAAAACTATAAATGTAATTAATGTCTGGCTTAAACTAATGAACTACAAAATTAACAACTTTTAGAATTAATTTCTTGGCTTAATTATTTAATTAATTATGAATTTGTTCAGATAAAATATTGATGCAATCAAAAAAAATTTTTGCCAATGCAGAATCTATAAATAAATTTTAATAGGCGTTATATGCGTAAAAAAATTCTACTATCAAAAATATAATCAAGCAATTATGAATTAAGGAAATCTATAACACTTGCTAAAGAAAAATATTTTTAAGAAAATAAAAACTGTTTTCTTTATTTTTTTTCCCTTTACATCTTTTGCCATTATCACATGCCCCCACCCCCATCACTGGATATTGAAATGTTCTCAACCACGCGTGACGAAATTCCCATAATAAAAAAAATCTTCAACTTTCCATTGCTATTTATATAGAATTTAAAATTAATGCAAAGTATTACGTAATTCCTAATCATAATTAAAATTATTCACTAGTAAATTAATCATAATTCACTAGTAAATTAATCATCGCAAGTAATCATAATTATTCACTGGTAAATTAATGATATGTACTTAAAAGTAATAAAAAATCGCGATTTTTTTCCCCCTTACACTATAATGCGTAGAACTTATTTAAATTCTAAATCGAATCTCACATAAAAATTTTAAGCCATTACTTGTCATTACTTGAATTGAAGCATTTAAGATTTATCAGTTATTCAAATAATGAATTATATATGAAAATTTAGTCTTTTATTTATTTATTTTATGATTATCAATGGATTCTTTTTTTATTTTTTATTAACTGATGATTAGTATTAAGTATTAGTTTTGTCTAATCAACCTTTAAATCAGCAGAATCATGCTTTTTCTCATATAATATGAAAATATAAATTTTAATTTTCTACTCATTTTAAAAATTAACTTCTCATTTAAAAAAATAGTTTTTAAATTTGTAATTTTTAAAATTAAAGATTACATACTTGAATTTAACTTTGTATAATCTGTTTTCAGTAGTATTTCCTATAATATGCCACATTTGAATTAATGTTAAATTTATTTGTATTTTTCCAGTAGTTAGAATGAATCACAAAGTACAATAGGCAATAAATAAGACAAAATGTAAACATTTACCTTCTATATTTTTTGCTGAATATCGTACACATAATCTTACAAAAACGACGCTGTATTATATTATATTCTATAAATTCGTAAAACATTCATAACTGTTCATAACAAAAAAGCTTTTTACTTCCACTTTTAAAATATTTCGGGGAAAAAATTTGTCAGTGATGAGCAGTCGTATTTTTTTTTAAATGTTTGTGCTGTTTTTCTTGTTATAAGTCTGCAATTATCTCCAAAAAACCTTATATGTTTAAAATGATGAAGTATAAACAGCACTTAATCTCCTGTTTTGCAAAACCACTAATTTAAAGCACTGTTTTCCAAACTAACAATAATTGATTCAGAAACACATTTTCAGTTCACACTTAAATTGATTGCACTAAGTTTGATGAAAAATAAAAAAAGAACACTAAAAAGTCACTGGGAAGCGTTTTGAAGACGAACAATGCAATTCACAGTTTATCCAATGCTCGGGGATTTGTGAGAAGCTCCCTCGTCAATCTCCAGCATTGTTTTGCCGCATTTTCCAACGAACTGACTGACTTCCCTTTGAAAAGATCCAATTGTGGCAAAAAGTAATGTGGGCAACGTCGACACTGCAAGCATGATATCAGTTGCAGCAAAATACCATTGAGTCGGTCACCGAGACATGTTTCGTCCCATTCGATTTCACGGGGATGTTTTTCGCACTCGTAAAGGACAAGAGTTTTCATGTGATAACTGGTCACCGGATTGCCAGGAATGTCCAAGTGGCGATCCCTCATTGTTTTCAAAATGCTCAAGCATTTTCCTCTACAACCTCCTTGCAACAATCGATTTTCGGCTTCTCCGAAATTTAGCACCCATGCATCTCCCTCCATGGAAGATTGCTTTCCTTGGAGGGTGACACATTCTTTGGACAGCAGATCGAATCCTTCAGTTTTGACTTCTGCAACCAGATTCGGGTTCGGCCAAGGAATATGCGGGATAGGCCAGTGCGCGGCTGACCTCGGCCAAAGTCCACTACATCGAAATGCCGGAGTGATTTGAACCACAAATCTCTCTCTTATTCTGAGTTTGACTTCAGTGGTGTCAGCTACCATTTTGACTACGTCCCTGTAGCTGCATTTATCACAGGCTTGAGCCACTAGAGTCTGGAACCGGGATCTTATCTTCCTTGCTGATAAGTAACCTGAAGCGGTGATGAACTCCACCCACAAGGACATGGATCTTTTCCTTCCATCGCTGAGTTTCAGTACCGCACAGCCTGGTAGAGATCCATCATCGACAAAATTGAAGACTCCCATCTGATTGAGGTAAAGCACCACCTCGAATTCGGTGGGGGAAATAACGTCGAATCCTTCGTAGCGTCCATTGCAATCATTCAAGGAAGAGATAAATCTAGGTTCCTGAACTTCGACCTCTTTCAGGACATCTTGAACCACCTTGCATACCTCTCGGACGTTTTTTGCAATGTTTGATTTACGATGATGAACCCTTTCACCATAGAATTTATTCAACTGGTATAAGAGCTTAGATTGTGCAGAAAGCATGTCTGGTGGTACCAGCATATTTTATATTATTGTCTGTACACAGAATCAGAAGAGTTTCCAAGAATTAACTGAAAAGATAATCTATTTTATCTCCCCATATTCTATGGGTATTGTTTAGAGCAGACGATTATCCTGAATGAAACCGAGTGTAGATGCTTCTTAGTAAATTTTACGTCTTAGGCGAAAAGGAGGCGTGGTCTATCATCGCGACCACCGTCGGCATGCGCCTTGTGGTAGTTTCCGCCCCTTCTCCATTTAAACGTCCAACCGCACGCCGTCAAACGATTTTCTCCGGGAAACACATTACCTGCGAGCGCGTGTGTTTGCCATTGGTCGATCGACAAGGACAGGGTCCACGACCTTTTTTTTTTTCGGTGGGGGGAGAGGGAGATTGAAGTGGCGAAATTTGAAAGCATGATTCGAAAAAAAAAGGAGAGAATGAGGTTGTCACTCTTATGTTTTCTAATGAGACAAGTGCGAACAGTGAAGCCAAACCCTACTCGTAAAAAGGGGTGGAGTTGTGTGGCGTCTATGGACTCTTAGAATAGACACAGGTGAGTGATGATGGCTACCTTTTCACTCAAATATTTTTTACTACCTTTCACAGCATCGTGTTTGTTTACGAAATTGGCGAAGCATACTTGTTTTTTCGACACACTCTGCGAAAAGCTTGGAAGCAAGTTTCCTGTATTCTATTGTTCCGCTTCCTTTCTTTGTGAACTTAAAATTATCGATTTCCTTTCCAATTTTTTTATAAATTTGTTTTCGAACTTTTTTTTGTTCCCTTTTTTTTCTCTTTTTCCCGTTAAATGTAGTTTTATTTGAAAGACGTGATTAATCGTGTAAAAAAAAGAAAAAGCTATATGAAGCATAGTATTGTTTACTTTTGGGTTGTTTGAGATATGACTGATTTTTTCGCTTACAGATTTAAGTTTTTATAGTTATTGTTTGATCACTGTTGTTACATGATGTTTTTTATGATATTAAATAGTTTGTAGTATCTATTTTTTTTTTTCAAATAGAGTATTATTTGTTTTTAAAAGTAATCGTGTAGAAAATAGTCTTCTCTTCGGTTAATATATTTATCAGCTCGCTTACTGTTTATCTAATTTCATTTACTTGTAAAAGTTCATAATTTTTTGGGTTAAATTTTTTTTAAATGCTGAGTTATTTTAAACTAATAAACTCTCATTCTTTTAGAAACGAAAATTACAATTTAGCTCAGAATAAAATTGATAAATTTAAGGAGAGATTTAGTTAATAAATTTTGTCATGGATGTTTCCTCAAAATTTTGTTTTTCATTTTCATAAATTCGGGTTTATATATTAATAATATTAATTTTTCTTGTATTTTTTATGCATATTTAAATGTAATGAAATATTTTGATTAAGTCAGATATAAAAAAAAATTAAGTGCTAAAAAATTGGAATTTTTCTTTTATTGATTTATTTTTAGTATTTGATTAGTATCTGTTTCATTTTTATCCTTTTCCTTTTTCAACTCCCTGAAATGTAATTAGTTATTAATTTTGGTAACTTATTAACCTAAATTAAAAACTACCTCTCTTTGAAAAAGAAAAATATGCATTATCACATTCATTAATTAAAGTTGTAGTACTTAATTAACAGTACTTTGTAAAAAATAAAAAAGCTCAATCTCCAAAAAATGAGCTTGTTAAATTTTTATTTCGTTTTAAATGAATTAACTGTCGTTTGCCTATTGACATCAATTGCCCTAAGCTCTTTAAAAGTTTTTTTTTTTTGTGAAAGATTTTTGTTGCATGAAAAATTTTCTCATAATTTTGTGTATCAGAAATAAGCATTAAATCCTGTTCGTTCGGCCATTTTTTTTTTCTGTTGATTTGTGAATATTGACAATCCTGTTTTCTTTTCTGTAAAACATCAGGGAATAAAAAGATGTATGATTTTCAAGTAGCTGCTGTTCTTAACTAGATTTATGTTAAGATGCAAATTTCAATGTATATATAACATTTAATATTGTTAACAATTTATACATGTTGTCTGTAGATTTAAAATTTATATCTGTTAGTACTCGGTAACTTAGAGCTCATTCTACTAAAATAAATTTAAAATTTCTATACAAATGAAATAGGCTAATTTAGAATTGAGCAGAAAATGCTAATGAGTAAGAAAATAAACGAGGAATATACTTCGATTGGAAGTAGCTTTCAAAATAGTTTTTAAAATGAAAAATGATGTGTAGAGTCCATTTTTGAGATAAAATATTTTGTAAAAGGCCCATTTTAGGAATAAATATTTTATTTTATTTATTTATTTAAGAGTCCGTAAATGGGCTCAAATCTGTCTTAAAATGACCCCTGATTGTTAATTTATTATTTACTTGATGTTTCGAAATGTTAATAATTATTTACATTCTGTGTTTTTTTCTTTCCCTCAAAATATTTTTGAGTGTTTTTGTTAATGAAGACTTTTTTTTTTTTTTTCAAATTAGTTTTTTTTTCTGAATAAAAATTTAAATATTTCAATAAAAATGAAATAAAAATTTCAAGAAAATGAGAAATTGTTAAAATGACGGTTTAAATATTTTCTGCTTTGAAATTGATTAAACTATTAGTAAATTTGATCGAACTACACAGATTTAATAATCAGAAGGTTTCGTTTATCAAAACTTAATACATTACAATTTCTGGTGTCAAATATGTTGGTTGTAATGGCCTAAACAACTTGTCTTATTTGAAGATTTTAACTCAACGTTTTTTAAATTTATTACAAAAACGAAAAAATTGCATAATTTAATGTGGTTAATTATTATTATTTTTTAAGCTATTAACTATAAAATGTATTAAAATTGAATACAAAGAAAATATTGCATTCACGAAATTTTAATATTCTTTTTTGGTAATCTTTAAGGTATTGTAATCTATATCAATGCTATCCCCCCTCCCCATTTTAAATAAATACCAGAGAAAATGAAAGTTTTTAGTAGAAATAGCACTCCTCGGTATTGTCTAAGTTTAAACAATAATTCCAAGCCCTCTCCCTCATAATTTAAGAACATGCCATGTAAATAAGAATTCATTATTATTTTTCGATAATTTTTTATGAACATTTCTGTGTGGTAAGAGCATTTTAATGTTTAATAAGACTCCTGTTGATTTGAGGAAGCATTTATTCAATCTTTATTTTATATTTATGCAGAAAAATATCCTCTGTCATTATTTGTTTTTATTTTGAAGAACAGAATCCTGATTAAAAGACGCAACTGGAGAATTTGTATAAATCTACGAACACTGTTATATTGCATTAAAGACTTATCGTTCTATTTTAAAATAACATATATTCTAATAACACGAACCTTTTAAAAACAATTTTATGGTATTATTTCCAGGCAAGTGTCATAGTAAACTTGGAATAAAGGGGGGAGGGAGGGAGATAAAACGATAATGAAAATAAAGGAAAACAATTTATTTTAATAATTCAGCAGCAAGGTATGTCCACTATAATGCATGCTATTTGAATCATGTTTCATTTTAGCTTGTTATTTAATGTGAAATTGACAGTTATATTTCTTTCTTAATTAGTTCTAATTTTTTTCAATGATTAATCAGTTTTAACAACCAATAAGTATTGTCAAAATATCATTCGAAAAACGCTCTCGGAAAAAAAAAGAAGCAAAACGTGTTTCTTTTTCTAGCTCGTATTTTGTTTTACGTAATTTCTTTTTCTGTTGTTGTTGCTGCAATAAATGTCAGATATTTTTTAAAAATTATACCGCAGACGGAACCCTACTGTTTTAAACTTGACATTCATTTTCTTCAAAAGTGGTTCGTGAAAGACGATACTGACATTACCTGTAAAGTGGAGGTCGTTATCTCCACCTAGGATCGATTACCTGTGGGGTGCTCTTCCACGGGACCCTCACCATCCACAGCAACTGATAGAGATCGGGTTGACGCCAGAGGAACTAGCGGGGGTGCTGACAAACCGAGTCCCGCTGCCCTCCTCAATTGTTTTCGAGCCTTTTTATACCTTGCTTTATGTAATTTTTTAAACTTAAAGAAAATGGCATTTTCGATGTTATATTTCTTTAATGTTGTCATTTACATGGCTAATAGTGTCTTTTTTTTTTAATAACATAATAATTTAATAGAGAAAACAAGGAAAATTATATCATGAAGATCAATGAAAAGAGGTAAAGAATAATTATTAAAATAAAATATTTAAAAAAAAAATTATTTTATGAAATATAAAAAGACGAATAATTTTATAGTAAAATAAAAAAGCCGGAATGAAAAGATATAATTTCGTCATTAGCTGACACGATTATATCCACGAAATTATCCACATATTTTGTTTGCCAGCTTTTTATATATATTTTTTTAAATAAATTTTTTTATAAATATTTTTTTAAAATATTTTATTTTAATAATTTTTATCTTCTCTTTTCATTAATCTTTATTATATTATTTTCCATGTTTTCTCTATATTTTTAACTTATTTTATGAGCTCTATATACTTGCAGCTTATTCGCAGTAAATAATTTTCTTTTTATCCTTTTGGCCTTTATTGTGCTATATATATATATATATATATTANTATATATATTTATACTGTTTTTATTCCTCTTAAATCTACCGGCTTTGGGAGATAGATGAAACTCAAAATAATGTCTTACAAATTGCAATTAAGTGTAATAACTTTTTTCCTTTTTTTAAATAGAACTTTTTCCTCTTCTTTTCCTATATATTATGTTCTTCCAACAAAAATTAACTTCGGCCAGTGTGACACAACTATTTGAAATAAATAAATCGATAAATAAAAAACTAATACGACCCTAAAAGGGTTAATTCTCATTTGATGTGCTCCCGTTAAAAATTTTGGATCGTATTAAACCATAATATCTTTTAAATTTAATCATCTTAAACTTGTTTACCTCATTCCTTGGTTTAAATTGGATAGAATTCACGGTCTAAGTTGAACCGATTTTTTAGAAATGTTATATATTTTGTTACCTGAATACACGAATCATTCAGATGCTTGAAGTATGAGAAATTTCAATTTTTTTCCCCGTATCTAAACTTATCGAGGCATCATTCGTACTGAATTTATATTCTTGATATTTAATTTAGCCCTAACACAATTGTTGCTTTTCAGAACAGATTATTTGGTGATAACCTTCTTTT